TAATTAAAATATAAGTATTTTATATTTCACTATTTTTTAATTAAAAATAAAATTGATGTTATTAATTAGGTATTTATTTCTTTAAACAATATGTGAAATTATTTTCCAACACGTTTTTGAATTTTTTTATGGTAAAAAAATGTCCTTTTTGCAATTGTTATAAAAAAAATTTCATAGAAAATTTTTCTCAATTAATATATTAATGCAGTATTAGTATCAAAAAAGTAAAATATGCATATATATTTCTTTGTATAATTGTATTATAAAGCACTTATTTTCATTTTATTTAAAAAACTTTTTTATTTTCTTTTAGTCTGATTTGGTATTGTGTGTAAAATCCACGCCATTAATTTTCTTAAAAAAAACTTAATCGAAGTGCCGTATATCTTACAAAATATATGTTATCAGTCAACGAGATTCAACAGAGAACTAAAACAAAAAAAAGTGACAGTGGAAGAAATGGCCACACTGAAATTTAAATTAAAAAGAGCAATAAACGTATTCAGTGACGTGACAAACATAAAAGTAAATTCAAACGATTAAAATTACCTTCAAATATGATGAAAATTACACAAAAAATTTTATTATATACTCATCCATTATTTTTTAATTTTAAAATTAAATTTTCGATAGAATTTAGAATTAATTTAAAAAACCCGAACCATTGAAACAGAAAAAGGCAAAATATCCTTTGCCGATTTTGTTAATTTAATTAAATTAAATAGTAAATATTATAATTTATTATAGCTGCTGAATCAACGGAAACAAGGAAAGCAAAGAAGTCATTGAGGCATTGGCTTCCTATGTACCGAACAATTAAAACAATCAAAGAACGACAAAAAATAAAGAATGAATGAAATCAAAGAACGACAAAAAATAAAGAATGAATGAAATCAAAGAACGACAAAAAATATGTCCAAGATAAAATTCTCTTACAAAAAATTATTGGCTCGATGTTTTTGATAATATCAAAAAATTGAAAATAAAACATGTGAAAATACTCATTTATACGAAGCTATATTGAATTAAATTAAAACATATCAACATACGTGCATTTCAATAAAAAGTCAATTGAATAATAAATGCACAAAAGTAAACACTATAATATTTTCTATAAACGTTTACACTAATTTTATAGCAGCACAAAATGTTATATTTTAGTTTCATTATTAAAATATTTATAATAAAAAATAATACATAAAATAAAAATTATTTTCGTTTTTCATTAAAAATAATGAAAAATGAGAATAATTTTGATTTATTATTAAAAAATATGTTGTATTTCTTATATGTATATACATAATTGATCAGTCACCAGAAATGTCATTTAGACATTAATTGTAAATATAACAAACTAATTTTACTTGCAGTCGTCTCAATAAATATGCTTTAATAGCTCAGTGAATTTTTAATTTGTAATTTATGGACTTTTGTACTTGATTGCTTTTGCAAATTTAGTCAACTACGTAAAATTCAATGTATCTTTCAATGTATCAATATTTAAACTGTCATTTGAACTATCTCTGCTCTTTCTACTTTAGCTATTGGTCCTTTCATGAAAATAAAAATTACTCAGTTAAATTAAAAAGCAAAATAAACTTTGGGGCTAGATTTAAAATGACTCAATTAAAAAATAACTGAGTTATATTTTGAGAATTGGAAATCCCATGTAACAGAATCATGGTTTATTAATTATACTACACTGTTATATACAGTTTAAGTTAAATTTTAACTTTATTTTGATTATAATTTGAAATTTTTTATTGTTAGTTTGTTTTGTTTATTTGATGTGTTAATTTTTTTCATAAAAAATCAAAAGTCAAAATGAAAACAGAAAAGTTTGAATTTGAAAAAAACAAAAAAAAATTAAATAGCTTTTCGAAGGAGCAACTTATTTACTTTGGATTTTAATTCGGATCCAAATATTTTGAGTTCTTCCTTAAAAAACTAACCTCAAAGATTATTACTTAAAAAGAATCCAATAATCTTGGATCTGGTCTATTATATGTAGCAAAAGTGCTAAACTTTTTAAATAGTAAAGTTTACTATGATAAAGTTTACTATTTATGATGAAAAATCACCATTTTCACAATAAAAAAAAATATATTATTCTTCAAATAATTCATTTTTATGAAACAAATATTTTACTATCCCTTTAAAACAATAAGATTCAGGCGCAGGCCTCAATTTTTTTTTCAGGGTTACTCTTAAAAAAATTTATAAATAAAATTTTGAAAAAAAAGTGTCAATATCTTGACAAATTTTTTTTATTTTTCTGAAAATTTTCTATTTTTTGCTAAATATTGACAGAAATGTTAAAATGATGATGCATTGTAAATGGTGTAAAATTAACCAAATAAAATAAAATAATAATACTAATAATAAAAGGAGTCAAATTGTGATTTATTTATAATTTTGCGAATAAAATATGTGATTCTAATAGATTTCATATTTAAAATCAAAGCAAATTGCAACGAAGCATGAAGAAACATAAAATAAAAAAAAAAAACTAAAAAATAAATTAAGAATTTGAACGAGAACCAAATGTAACCAAACACATGAAAAATTTGTCGTAAAGCAAATCTTAAAATTACAAAACAAGATTAATTTGGCCTAATTAGGTAAAGTAGCAACATTGATGAATTTATCTAAAGACAAAATTGAGTTTTCTTAAAAATTTGGGTAAATTTTTAGGTAATCGAATACCCAAAACTTTATGTTTTTATATAAAAATAAAATTTTCGACGCTTTCTGATTTTTCAATCATATGCTTGATTCTTGAAACTTTTTCAAATGGCAAAACAAAATAATTTTAGCTGCGTTTACAGTTAATATACATTTCATTTCCATTTGCACACGAACACAAAAATGGTTTATGGAGAGTGAAAGACAAAAACTACCTTTAACCAAAGAAAAAATGAATGAATGATAAGCCCCTGTGTTATTCATTTTTTATAACGCACATTGGCAACTATTTTTGGCAATTCATTCGTTAATGATGACACCAAAAATGAATCATAGTTTCGTATAAATGTGAATGATAAAGACAATAAAGCCTTTGAAAAGAAGCACAATTAAATTAAATAACAATTTTTGTCCGTTAAATTTGAAATATATATGTACGAAGCCTTAATCAATTTCGTCTATGACTTAAACACATTTTGTATGAAGTGGGCATGGGTAGGTCAAAACTAAAAAAATAAATGGTAAAAAAGTTAGTAAATCTTTTTGTTAGTAAATTCTTAGTTTTGACCACGGCTAACTGAAATATTTGTTATGTCCAGGATTCGATTCAAAAAAGAAAACCAAAAAATTCGGAGCTACAGATTTAATCCTTTGATAAAAAGGAACGAAACCTATTGAAAAACAACAATGACAAAAAACAAAGATTAAGAAAAGGGTATACATGAATTATAAATCAATTGATGATTATGTTATTGAAAAATTAATATGATACTATGAACTTTTATTTGCCTACATACATAATGTGTTATTATGTTAGAAAAAACGTGTATGCCATGTACATAATTATAAAGGGTGAATAAAGAGAAAAATAAATTTTATTTACTATTACCAATCTAATAAGTATAAAATCGTTATATGTACATGCATTTGCGCATATACATATTTTATTTTTAATTATACATATACAATATGGAAAGTAGATTAAGTAAATGTAATAAAACAAAAAGGGGAATTCAAATTTAAGAAGGATGATTAATTTACTAAAATTAAAATAGTTAAAATTTACAAAAAAATATACATAGTTATTTTATCATACAAAAAATAATCTACTAAAATAAATGTCCTAAAAATTTTAAACTACTTTTTTTAAATAATAAAATTTATATAATTTTGAAATTTATTTATTGCTTATTTTATAAATAATTTTATACAATTTTTTTAAATTTGATATTATAATGTAGTATGTACAAGTGTATGCATATTTTAGTTTCATTGCCGATATTTTAAATAAAATATAAATATTTCATTTAATATGTACATATATGTATTACGTTCGTAATATAATTAGATTAAACCTGAAATGATCAGAACTAAACTTTAAATATGATTTTTGATTACAATTTAGTTATAACATGAACAATACTTCACTCCCTCATACTTAAGTAAAGAAATTTTATTAATAGAATTTAAAAATTTATATACATATATACAAATAAGTTTATGAATGTATATATTATAACAATTCACTTTGTAGGTATAACATTTTATGAAAACAAGGAACAAACGCGTTGCCACACTGTTACATGCATTGAATAACAGTAATAACGGTACATAGTACCCACATCAAAATATTCGCAAAAAATTTCAAAACAAAATTTCAAAAATTTTGTGCAGTCTTTACACATACATATTTGGAAGTTTTTATTATAACTATATTTTATAAGAGCTATTATGATTAAGATTTGCAATACAATCTGAAGGGTTGATAAAGAAAATTAAAATGAAAAAGTGAATTTTCTATATACATATGTACATATATGTAATATATATATATATATATGTATGTGCATATAAATATATATATATACATATATATATGTAATATGTATATAGGTCAATTGTTTTGGTTTTTAATAGAATACGTGACCTTGAAAATATAACTTATAAATTTTAACTTATAAATTAATTTTTTTAATACCAAAAGCATTTTTTGTAACCTAATCGGAAGTAAAACTATTACACTAAGGTTTTGTAAAACATTTTAAATGTTATTCCTTTATTTTTTCTTTTTGATATATTTTTTGAGCTAATAGAACCAAACATTCCCACGTGGTGTTTGTTCTAAAATAGTTTTTAATGTTCAAAATTAATAAATGTATGTATGTATGTATGTGGCATAATTAATATAATAGGCATGAATAAGTATTTAGTAAGATGTGCCTATATACATAAATGATTGATAGCTAAAGACAAAATCTTTATTATGTTAAACAAATGTTTCTAATACATTTTATTAAAAAGATTTTTAAAATTACCTGTCAGAAGATGCTGACGATGGTGGATCAAATTTTACAACTTTTTGATAATTTGCCATTCTATGTAGTTTGTACGTTCGTAAATTGTCTAAGGTAAGTACTTCTCTATGAAAAGTTTACAAAAAAAAATGGAAAGGTTAAATTTTTATATTCAAATACTAAATAATGCAGATATGCCACGTTATAGATCTAACATAATTTTACCTTTCTCTAAAACTGTCTAAAACCAAAATAAAATTTTCCTGCCTTCTAATATAAATCCAAAATAAAAAAATTTATCCTTTGTGCAAAAAAGTAATTACACTTTCAAAATTTTATTATTGCTTTATTTTGTTGCCATAAGTCATCTACGGTATATTTTATTGGAAATTGCTTCAATAAACGTGCTTTCTATTTTCAGAATCAAAAGAAAAATGACAAGAAGAACCGGACATGCGTATTAAATTTAACAAAAGTGAACTATCACTTAATTTATAATATAAATATATAATGTTCCTATATATTTCAACTTATTTATATTTTCCTTGCTCTACATTCAATATGTAGTATGTAATGTACTTTATCTTTTATGGTGTTTGTTATTATTTATATTCTCCGACTTATATATAAAACAGCTGATTTGGTATCTGACATTTCGTTAATTTGCCGATATGACAACTTGTTAATGTTGGTAACAAAATCAATTTGGTGTTGCCAAAGAAACAGAATTATTCTGTGATTTACACCAGCTCTTTCAAAAATTCTTTTACAAAATACCAATTATAGCAGCTTGGAACATGCATAATGCTTATATCGTAAGTTTAACAATCCTTAACGTGCATATCGTAGGTTAAAAAGCAGAAAGCACTAAGTGCATTTTTTTAGAATTCGGATTGCATAGATGAATTAAATCAGTATAATATAATCTTTGTTGTGGCAAAAAATCATGCAAATCCAGAATATAGTTTATAAATCCAGAAATTAAAAAAACCAATCGAATTGCACTAATTGATTAGTTTTACAATTTTACGATTTTTTCAAATTGAATTTACTCAAAACACAGTTTCCTGACTTAATGCTTTCTGCTTCTTAACCGACATATTAAGTATCGTAGTATCAGTCGATCGTTATTGATATTATACAGAAGAAAAAAAAAACAGCTTTTCGTATGGGGCTGCCATAGTTTGACAAAATGGCAATATTTTTTTTTATGCTTATGTTTAAACTTGAAGTATTGAAAGTGAATACAGAGCAGTGTCCTAGGACCAGTTCTTTATTTGCAATACACAAGGGACATAACCATAAATGATGAAACAACCACGGCAACCATGGCAGATGATACTGTCATTTTTTCTGTAGGACATAGCATAGTAGAGTGCAATGAAAAACTACAAAGATCAATAGACTTGATTAATAGCTGGACTAATAAATGGATCAAACTGAATGAATCAAAATCACATATAAAAAAATAATATTTATTTAAATGGTCGACCAGCACATGAATCTGGATGCTAAACTTACGGGGAAGGTATATATTAAGAAGAAAAAGAGAAATTAAACAAGAAACGTATTGGCTTAACACTTTCCGTTCATATTAGCAAATTCTAAAACCAATGTGGCTTAGCAATAAAAGTAAAATATTCATAATTCAAAGAGTAAAAAATCGAATTTTAAGAGAACTTGTAAATTCCCCTTAGTATGTGCGAAACATTGTTATCCACAGAAACCTAAATATTGCAACGGTCCAAGAAGAAATAAATCAAACCGCTAAAAAGCACAAATACAGAATTGGAGATCATGAAAACATGGAGAAGCTGCAATTCTTGACAATCCTGAGGCGACTCTTGATTTGAAAACAAGTCCCAGCTAAGCTAAAATGAAAAGAATATTTCTTTGGAAGATATCTCTGAATGTCTACCCAACACACCATTGAAAGTGATAAAAAAGTTACTATAGGCTGTCACTAGGCTTAGTTGTAATAAATAATTGGAAAAAAAATTTCGTTAATTTTTTTATATTTAAAATTGATTTATATTTAAAAATGGTTTTCTTTTCAAAATAAAAATTATGTGTTATAAAATTTTTTAATATCTTAGAAAAATTTGTAAATTTTTTGTATTTGATAATTTTTGGTGCTATTTCAATTATTATTTATTTATAGAAAATAATTTCCACTGTAATATGTAAAAATGTTACACTAATTAAAATTCTAATAATACAAATATTTGTTAGAATACTATGAAAGAAAATGAACTAGGTATAAATTACTACAAATTAACGATACCCAATCCAATGGATTAGAAATACTAATTAGTATTTCTAATTAGTTGGTTTTAACACTGTTTCATGTTCAGTTTTTGAGATGTAGTGTTTTCATGTTTCAGATAATTCAAAGTGCAAAAGTAACACTTTATTTATACTTTTCTGCATGTTAAATACAAACTTACACATTTGTTAAAACTAAAATATTTTTTTTAAGAAATTTTAAAAAATCGGAGAATGTATTAAAAATAAACTTAAATTTGATCAATTTTTTATGCAATTTTTTATAATTTTTCAAGCATTTACTATGCAACCCTTTTTAGAAATAGGTTATTGAAAAAAAATATAACAAAAATAAGTAATAACTATTTGTGAGATTGCCGTCATGTTTTAACAGATTTTTTTATACTATAATTGCAAAGATCTTCAAAGTTTTATAATACTGCAAATAAAAAAAGTAAAATATCAGAAAATTTTGAAAAATTGTTAGAGTAATTTTTATATACATATATTTGAAGTTTTGTTGCTCTATGTCGCATGGCTTCAAAGTTATAAGCCTTTATTTATATGCAGGAAAAATCTGGTACTTTTTTTCAACAGCCTTTAATACAAAAACGCGTATATCTGTACCCTCCCCCCAACAATTTTTGCTAGAAATCGATCAAAGAATCATCATTAAAAATGTTTGCCACCTTATGCGAAATACTTTGTATATTTAGTTAAAAGAAAAAATCGGGAACTGCCCGCAAAATTAGTAGAATCAATGGAAAACAATCCGAATGTAGCGCATCGAGGAAATAAATTTTAAATCAAAATTTAAAAAACATAATGTTCGATTTTGAGGGTTAGTTGCGTGAGTTAAGAAAAATAATTATATTTTTTAATGTCATGGTTTATATTTTGTAATGTCATTCACCGTTAGCTTTCTGCGTTTATAGAAGTTTGAAAAAGCTTGCGGTTTCAGAAATATAAGGCGGCAAAAATTTAAATTTTACAAAATTCAAGAGGCGATAACTTGAGAGGAGGTGGAGGTGGAAAAAAATTTTCTTCTAACAAAATGAACTATTTGTTAGTGCCTAAAACCTACTAAAATTTAAGGCTCTCACAACCTGGAGTCTAGAAGAAAAATGACATCAAAAATTAAAAAAAAAAACAGATTTTGCATAACGGTAAATTTAAGCGGCCGTTTTGTTTTCTTAAAATTTAACAAGGTTTATTTTCCAAAAGCGCTGGGGAAAGCAAGCCACTGCCTTTCTCCGTTTGCAATTTGAAAAATGTTTATGGTTTCACTACAATAAATAGTTTAAAAATGGCATTTTTAGGGGGGGATAACTTTTAGAGGGGGGAGATAGATAAAAATTTTGTTCTACGGAAATAAGTTTCTAGTAAAGATCTATGTACATATTAAATTTCAGCTTTCTATCTTCAAGCGTGTAGTTTTGTAAACATGACCACAGACGGACGGACAGAGTGAAACTAATAAGCATTTTTTTCAAAAATTTTTTGGAAAAGTGTTAAAAATATATAGAAGGAAAAGTGGAAACTTAAACGCTTTGAGATCTACAATGGATTTGGTCGATCCTTTATATTATATTTACGTGTCCTTACAATATTTGCATTTTCTTCTTCACAACTACACATCACAATTCTATAAGTTGTAACTTAGAAGGTTTAAAAGCAAACTTAATTTTAAAAATACCGGTTGTCTTAATTGAAATTATAGTTTTAATATACATGTTTATGTATGTATTGTTCACATAATTCCAAATTTTATTTTTATCTAAAGAGTGTTACACTTCAATTTATTTTTTTTATTTTTCAATCAGTTTTCGAAATTGTTATTGATTCAAAATTAAAATTAGTAAAATTAACCATAATTCTTTTTGAGTTCAAACATCTTTTTGATAAAAAATCAATAATTTTTACTGTTACGAAGAAAACAATAAGCTTCTTTCAAAGTACAGATTTAACGTCATCTTAAAGTAATAAAATTTGAAAAGCTGAATACTTATGGTTGTACTGTGTACATACATATATATGGTAAATAGTGACCGACTTGAATTGTGCATATCCAAAATGTATATTACAAGCCATTGACATTTTACACTATTCTAAAATGCATCGAATACGCAGTCGAAACGTAAAACAACAAAAGCAGAGCGTGTAGCGAAAAAATTGAGACTGCTTTTTGTACAATTATTTATTTACACGGGTACTTATTTCAAAACTTTGTTAATAGCAAATATAAAGTCTGTCCGGGATAAGAAAATTTTTATAAACTTTTAAAAACTTTGTGAAGGTTTTGCATGCAAAGCGTCTGGGATAATACTTTTTGAACAAAAATGAGAGGAAATGGGGACATTCTCATTTTCTCAATGTTTAAATTTCAAGTCTTCTAAAGCAAAATTTAGTGTTTTAAAAATTTTTCGTCAACAATTTTTTCTTCAAATCATTTCAATTAAAAATAAGTAAATTAAAATAACTAAAAAGGCGTTACAAATGATTTTTTCTAAGTTTCACGCTTTTATAATCCAAAATCAAATCTTCAGTTTTTGGTAAAACTAAAAAATATTTATTTACGTTTATTAAAACTTTGAAATTTGAAGTTTATCGCATATTTATAAAGTTTGTAAAAGTTTCTTTGAAGTTTTGTGTCTAGTTCATTTTTTTTAAATGACAATTCTTTCTTCTTCTCTTTTTAAAGTTTTTTCAAGTTTTATCCCAGACAGGCCTATATTCAATATCATTTTTCATACAATGCAGAAGTTTCAAAAGCTTTTTATTTTTGTAAAACTGTACTTAGACGGCATTTAAGCTGTATTAAAACTTTTTAAATTGTGTTTTGGAAGTCGCGGATGCATAATTTTTGCTTTGAAATACCTGGCTTGATACTAGAAGAAATTGGAAACATAAAAAACCGTAAAAAATTGAATTTAAAAAATTACTAAATAAAAAAATGTAAATTTGTTGTAGAATTCGCAGTTTACAAACTTTTTATGCAATGTGCAACTTCGACGGACGCAATGCATATCAAAATGTTATATCCAGAATTTGGTCAAACGTAAAAGTGTTGGAGTTATAATACATATATATATATATGTGTCTGCACAATTAAAGTAAGGAATACTGTTACACAATTCAATTAAACTCAAGCAGATTATATGAAATACATCGCCGTATTACTGTAATTTTTCAGTTGTAATTTTTTTAATTTAAAAGCTTATTTTTCTTTTTTACAAAAATTAATATTTATTTATATATTATTTATAAAAGATAATGTTTACAATATCAAGAATAATTATGTATATAGAATGAGATTTGTTTTAAATAAAATATTTTTTTTAAAATAACAATAATGTGAAAGCTGTATTACAAAATATACACATATATATTTATTTATATAAATTAAAAAATTTTTAATTCCATTCCGTGATTCGTGATCTTTACAAAAATAATGAATTTAAAAATGTAGCTGCTTCCGGATTAGAATTAATAACAGTCGAATATTTTTCTGGAAATTTATCTTTAATTTCTTTGATAAAGCCCAAAACATTATTATAGGTCTCTTCATCTTTATATTCCTTTTTATAAAGTATATCAGTTGCGAAGGCTATTATTTGTTCCAAATACTGTATTAAAATCTCCTTACCATCAAGATAAAGTTGTTTAAAACATTTAAATATAGAATTATTTTCTTCGAAATCCTCTTTAACAGGAAGCTGACCCATAAATACAGGTAATACTTGCTCTAAGGGTACTAAATTACTATTTGTAATAATTAACCGAGCAATAGCACCACATATGTTATCAAGAACGCCTTGATGTTTTTCTTTCGAAACAGCATGTGATAGAGCAGTCAATATATGTGGATATGATGAAAACGATTTTGTTTTTGCATAAAAAACCATTTCCCCAGTACCATATACAGAATTTTGCCTGACCTGTTCTGATTTATCACTGACACCATCTAACAAGATTGGCAATAAAATATCAAAATATTTTTCGGTATTATGTAATAAGGGCTGGAAGCATTCTGCTAAAGCACCGTATGCAAATGAGCGCATAGAATCTCCGTTATAATCATTTTTCTTAGATTTTTCAATTTTTTGTATAATTATTGGAGATATTCTTTCGAAAAATACAGCGAATTGATCTGGTTGCAAGGCCCGTCCAAATAAAGGTAAAATGTTTCCAGCAGTTTCAACGACTGCTTCATCATATTCACTTTCCTCTGGATCATCTTCATCGTTTTCACCTTCCTGCTCATCGAATTGGCATGCTATTTTACCAGACATTACATCATTAATGCAACAGAAAATCAATTCCATGCTATTTTCATCGCTAATCACAAAACATTTCATTTCCTTTAGTAACTCAGCAACACCTTCCAAAGCGCACATTACAACAGAACATTCTTCATCGTTATTAACAATGTGAGCCAATTTAGGAAGTAAAATTTGTATAGCATTTCTTGTTCCCTCTTCATTTTTTTGTTTATATAAAAATATAACAAAAGCAACCAAAGTATCTATGCTCACTTTTCTAATATCCTCTTGAACATGGTCTATCATTTTGTAAACATTTTGGAATGCCATTTGCAAATAAGGATTAAAAGCTGATCCGGTATGTTGCGCGAATTCTTTCAACGTTAAAATTGCTTCTTCTTTTTCATCCAAATAAGAATTTTCCACGCTGTATCCAGCTATATCATCTTGATCATCATTTTCATTATCTGAATGTTCAATATCAATTTCTGCATCATCGGCATCATTGCCTTCTTCGCGAGTTACTGGATTCGTTCCATCTAATAAAGCATTTTCTTTATACTCTGGAATAATTTCTTCAGTATTAACTACAGTATCAAAAATTTTTTCTATTATTTTTGGGAAAACATGTTCCATTTTTTCATTTACCACTTCGGCTAGAGCTGCTATTAAATTATAAAGCGCACGACGCAAATCAGGATCATCAGCTTCTTCAAGAAGCGCTAAAGCGAAATTCATAGTATCATTTGCAAGAGGCATAAAATTTTCTTTCCCAATTGTTCTAGCTAAAGCAGCTAATGTATCTATTGCCTGTGGTCTTAAGGCTATCACATCCTCATTCTCAGATTTTTGCAAATACATTTTTAAGCCCTCTGTTAGTTGAAGAAAATAAGGTAACATGTTTGTTTTTGCTGCATTAGCCGCAGCACAGACCGAACTCAAAGCCAATTCTCGAACTTTAACGGAATTGCGGGGGTCAAGAGCATCAAATAATCTTTCCATTAAAATAGGTAAGTGTGGAACAATATCACTATCGAGATTTTCGCAAAAGGTTTCTAAAGCATAAAACATTCGATCAAAATGTTTAGGTTCATTCCCGTCTCCAGTCTTTAATTTTAGTTCATTACAAAGCTGATGTAAATATTGAAAAAGAATTGGTAAAATTTCTGGAGCAAATTTTGTAATATCTGGTTGAAGATGCTCTGAAAATTGACCTAACGCAAAAAATGCCGCATTTCGCACTATAACATTTTGATCAATAATCCCTACTTTAACAATTTCTAAGAATGTTGGTAAATATTTTGAGCAAATGGCTTCAGAACACCCTTCAGCAATAACAGCCATACAAAGATAAGCCGCTTTCTTCGAGTAAGGAGAATTGCTTTGTAAAGCAGGTTCCAAAAGTTGAAGTAATGGTGGAATAAATTTTTCTGGAGGAATATGCAAAGCCATTAAATCCATAGTTTGTGTTGCAGAATGAGTAGGTTTGGATAAGTCATTCCCTAAGAAATAATCTTCATCTTCGTCATCGTCTTCATTTTCCTGTTCTGCAGACATTAAGTTGAAAATAACATGTAAAATAGGTTCAACAAGTTTCATTTTAATAACAATTTTCTTTTTTAATCTAATTAACCAGCCAACGTACGATATTGCTTTAACACGTGCTGAGCAGTCTATTTGAAAGTTACTTGCTGTTTTAAGGCAAAATTCAATCAACAACTGGGTGTTAGATGTCAATAGCTTAGGTGTAAAATCAGCTAAATTTTCCAAAATTTCGAAAGCTTTTACAAATTTATCAGAATCTATTTGAGCTAAAGCTTCTAATGTTTTAACTACAATTGGAATAGCCTTCTGGTATGTGTGCTCAGCGCCGTTATGACCTAATATAAAAGGTACTAAGTGAGACATCCCAGTTATAATGTTATAAACGACATTAGGGTTAGCCTGATCGCTGACCATCAAAACCGCCACAAACATTTCGCAAATGGCATCTATATGAGAAATAAATTGATCAGGGGCTGTATCAGTTAAAACGGCAAACACAGATGATCCCAATTCACTTTCATTTGCATTAGATGATCGACAATATTCGAATATAAATTTTAAAATTTCGTTCACCCATGCTCCGCCACCCGAATTATCCTCATGTTTTATTAAAACTCCTACCAATTGTCCTATCGCAGTTCTAACTGGTTTTTCACTCTCTCTAGTAAGGGCACTCAGCATATTTGCTTTAATCACGTTTCTATCATCTGTTGAGAGAGCTTGCCAACTACGTAGTTTGCCTAATTGTTTTTTCAATAAAACCGCTGAATATTGCCTTAATTGAGGATTTGGAGACGCGATTGTAATTTCCATCAAAGCAGGTATTGCATTTGGATTCTTAAGAGCCTCATTTAAATCTGCCGATGCCTTTTTTATAACCTCACTATCAGAAACTAATAAATTACTAATTATCTGCTCCATTTTCTTGCTACAAAAGCAATAGTTAAAAATATAATTTTTTTTATTAAATTATCTTACAACCTAAGTTTAAGAAATTAATCACTGGTATGTTCGTTAATCCAAACTCTCAAGTCTGCCGCAAAAATCTCGCGTGATAGAATTCCTATATTTAATTGAAAAAATAAGGCAGTAAGGCACCGCATACCAAAGATAGTAATTTTAAATTAGCATTAAATACTATCGATTCATGCTATCTAATACTATCGATATTAAACTATTTTGACAACTGTGATTTTAATATTATAAAGAAATTTTAGTTGAATAGAAAAAAAATCATTTAAAATTTTATACTGATTTTCTTATTATTGATTACTATGAATAATTTATTAAAAATTATTGTTTACCATTTGTAAAGAAAATTCAAATTAAACAACCCAATTAAACAACAGTTACAAAAAAAATTAATGTATTTTACATTATTTTCCAATGAAGTATTTGCATTAAGCACAAATAAAAATTCATAATAAACTTTAATTCTACGTTAATATTATTTCCAATGATATTAATGCCTGTGTAATGATTTAATTTAAATTATTGCATTAATTTAGTTTAAATCAGATTTTTGAGAACAATGATGAACACTAAATCTGATGAGAATACAGAAACTTTGTTATTTGCCGTCAGACAAGGTCTGACATACGACTTTCACAGACTCAGATTAAATTTTAGATTTTGCTGTAGCAATAATAAATGAACGATATCTAAGATAAGATCTGTTAAGCATTTACCATTATTTACACCGATTTTGGCAGCAAATGTTTTAAATATTTGAATTGAAATACCTGACTGTAGCAAAATTTTCTAGAAAATTTAGTTTGTGCTAAATTATTTTCAAAAATCAGGCAGGAAATTTACCGATAAGATATGCAGCACGACTCTTACATTAAAGGTTAAGATAAATGTCATTTCCTCTACAAACAAAAACAAAATTTTTTGTCAAGGGGAATGGAACCAGTAATCCAAAGTCATCGCATGGACACAGTAATCGGATAGTTTTCTGTTTTTTTCATCAAACTTAATCTAATGTATAGCTTCGATTAGACTTGACATTCCAATTTTATTTAAAATATTGTGTACGTGTGCGACAAAATTTAAGGTATTGTGGACATATACGACAAAATCTGCAAATAAAACTCTAATGATAAAGTCAGATTAAATATTGCATTTTTTCACAGTAAATAAAATTTATAGTAACTCGTATATATGTGAATAGTAACTAAAATTAAATTTGAATATGATTAAAGGCGTATATGTAAACATTGTTTGGTAGCAGACTTTGTCTACACCAAATATCAAAATACAGGAATTATTCTACTCTCATCAAATTGACTGTCAGATTTTTTTAAAGTTAAATGGCGAAAATTATATTTTTTCAAAAATGTTCAATAGCATAAAATTCCAAAAAGTTTAGTGAAAGCTCTTGACATTGTACACTTTTCCTAAATGCGTTTTATACGTAGTGGAGACGAATAAAAGTAAATTGGGTATCGAAAAAATCAAGCACGCTTTTCTTATACCTTGTCATATAAAAGTTGCCAGAAACAACCGATAAAATAAACTAGCATATATTTTCAGTAATAAAGTTCTAGTTATCAAATTTTTTTCCTAAAATGCAGCATAAGAATGCTATGTTTTTAATGATGTGGGAACGTTTTATAAAAATGAACATTTGCACAGAACTTTAAATTGAAATTTTCAAATAAACGTGAAAGTTGTATTGATATGATAAAAATTGTATTCCAAAATCTACGGAAAGCTTCAGTAGTTTTTTTTTACAATTTAAAGTTCTGAGAGCGTACTACAACCGTATTAATAAAGTACTGAAATCTTTTTTAAAGCATTATTAAAGTCACGGAATATGTAAAGAATCATATGACTTTATTATAGATTTTATCTTAGACGCATATAGGAAAGCAGTGCTTAGCTCTCTAATAATGCCATATATATCTAACAGGTCACCAAGTTCAGAGAGCAAATCAATAATAAATTCCAAATTTAGATGGAGTTTAAATGGAAGAGGTGTCGGAATTTAAAATTTAAATTTCAAATAAATATATATGTAGAATCATGTATTTTAAATGTAATTTATAATTGTAATATAAAATAATTCTAAATTATGTATTTTAAATGAAATTTAAATTTTAAATTTCAAAAAAATCGGTTGATAAATTCCATCTCAAAAGTGCCTTTAAAAAAAAAAGAATGTTGACAACAAAGTTTCCGAATAACAGCAAAGTGTTAATATAAAATTATTAATTATCTATAAAATTATTACATTCATTGATAATTATGATAAAAATATGATTATATTTAAATATAACTTGATCTGTTGATCTTTTCAATGTCAAAAAGTTATATTTAGAGATCAAAAACTAAAAATGCCATTAACTTTCTTTAATAATTTATTTGAATTCATCTTTAATTTGTATTGCACAAAAGAAAAACTAAAATTAAGGGTGAAATCAATGAAAATGACAAATTATTTTCAATGAACAACATTCTAATTTTTAGTTCAGCTTGTTTTATATGGTTAGTTTTTTTAATAAATTCTTGAGTGTTAGATACATATATCTGATATTTTAGGTTGATTTTTCAGTTTACAACAGTTTGTTTTTTTTGAGAGTATTCGATGAACTGTGTCGTCTTAAAATACCAACATTATTTACTAAAAATTATTCACACCAAGTACAAAGACTTTTGTTTTCTTTATTCTCGATCCGTGGAAATTCCTTTTTCCACTCAACTCTAAATTTTTTAACATATTTAATTTCTATTGCCGGATGTTGATCTTCTGAATCTGATTCAAATAATGCATAGCTTCAGATAATTTATAGATATATGTAAAACGTGATGAAGCAGATATGCAACCATTCAGAGAGGTTAACTCTTACAAAATAACACAAGTAACATGCAATGAACAAAACAATTGGATTTTGTACCCCAGGTGGTAAGCCAAAACCTTTGGTGAATCCACCCTCTTTGGAGGCTGACCCCACGGATTCTGGGGGGGGTCACTTATTGCATTTAACTACAGGTACGAAACAATCTAGTATCTTGACAAACGCCAGTATTGGTTCCAGGAGCTCGCTAACTAAGCGTACTCCTCCCGAATCTCCTGCTTCTTCTACAAACTACTTAAAAGAGTGTGAAGAACTGCGAAAAAAAATGGTAGAGAACGAAGCTCTCCTACATAAACTCTTGGAGGAGCTAAGCGAGGTGAAATTGGAAAATAAAAATCTGAGAGCTGCACTGGAGATGAAAGTCTCAGCGAGGAACTTTAGGAGCAACAGCAGTGAGGACCTAACGGGTTTTGAAACAGATGCAAATGCAAACTGGGTAGCAAAAACTACCAAAAAACACAAGAAGAGAAAGGCCAATTCTTCCCCGGAAATGGCTAAAGAAACTGCATCTATCAGTAAAAATGTTAAACCAAACCTATCACATTCTAAAAATGATGCTTATAACGGGGCTTTATCCACCAGTTGCAAAGATATTAAAAAGTCAACTGGTCAGCTGCAAAAACCTGAAGTTCCTTCAAAGAACGCTTCCAATATATCTACTGGATGCAAATCGGATAAAGAGACAGCTGATAAAGTAATAAAAGATAGAAGGCCTCCTCCTATTAACATAGTTGGAATTGTAGATCATCTAACATTCAGCAAAAACGAAAGTATCCAGAAAATTTATGATATCAGATCGATATTAAATATTCCTGTAAAAATAGAGGCATTGAGGAAAAATTCGAATCAAATTCCTCAATGTAAAAGATGTCAGGATTTTGACCACACCAAAAAATACTGTAAAAAGCTCCCAAGGTGTCTTAAATGCGGCGGAGATCATCTCACCGCGTGCTGTGATCTCGATAGGAGCGCTCCAGCAAAATGCGCTAACTGTGGCGGCAATCACCCAGCGAACTATCGGGGATGTGAAGTAGCAAAAGAGTTGCAAAGACGAAGGAACCAAGCTGTTCAAAATAAAAAGCAAGGAAAAGAAACCTTAATCCAATTATGCCAAAGACTCCAAAAACCCCTGCGTTAGACCAACCAGCGGTTCCGAAAGTGATCACCCCTCATAACAAGAGCCCGCATCCTAAGATGTTAGGAAATAGAACTTTCGCCCTAGCAGCTTCAAGTAACACTACCCCAAGTAAGTCTGTGGAGGTAATGATAGAATTAATTTTAAAGAAACTAGAGCAATCCGAAGCCCAACAAACGAAACTTTGGAATCGACTGGACAACATAGAAAATAAAATAAACACGTGGCGCATTAAAAGATGACACATACTTTAAGAATAATGACGTGGAATGCTAATGGACTAACCAATCATATCCAAGAGCTAGAAATCTTTTTGCATAAAAAAGAAATAGACATTTGTCTTATTTCGGAAACTCATTTTACGAGAGAGTCCTGTTTAAGGGTGCGGGGTTACAAGCTCTACTCTGCTTTACATCCCGCAAACAATGCAAGGGGAGGATCATGTATCATAGTTAAAGAAAATATCAAACACGTTCTGGAACCCGAAATCGAAGAAGAAAGTATGCAGATAAGCTCGGTGAAAATAAGGAAATTAAAATTTCGGCCATTTATTGCCCTCCAAAACATAACATGAGGTACGCAGACTACAAAGAAATGTTAAAAAGAATGGGTAACCACTTCATATTAAGAGGAGATTTTAACGCTAAAAACGTATTTTGGGGCTCTAGATTAACGAGTCCTAAAGGAAGGGCTCTCTATGAAGCTGGGAGAGAACTAAATTGCTCTTTCTTTTCTTCGGGAAAACCTATATACTGGCCTAATGACCCGAACAGATTGCCTGATGTTATTGATTTCTATATTGCTAGAGGTGTAGCTGAAAACTATATTAGCATTGATGAAAACTTTGATCTCAACTCTGATCACTCGCCTGTGATATTAACTATAAGTGAAACCATTATAATGATTGACGATGCTCCTAGATTAGCTAATAAAACAACTAATTGGACTCAGTTTAGAGAAGAACTTGACGAAATTATTGACGACAAAGTGTCCTTGAGGAATGAAGCTCAACTAGAGGAACAGCTTGATTCGTTTATCACTAATGTCCAAGGTGCCATTTGGAACAATACTATTCAAATTAGAAAACCGGTGGCCAATGGCAACCTCAATTGTCCTATAGAAGTCAGGAGGCTCATCAAAGAGAAAAGAAAGGCCCGAAAAATATGGCAAGTCACACGCTGCCCAACTGACAAAACTAAACTCAATAAGCTGAGCAATAAACTTAAAGTTCTACTAAAAGACATTAAAAACGAAACTATTGCCAATCGCCTTCAAAATTTGACAGCTGAAAAAGACACTGATTACTCGCTGTGGAAAACAGTGAAAGGTATCAATAGACCTAGAGAACTAAATCCGCCAATCAAAAAGGATGACGATTCTTGGGCCTCGGATGATAAAGAAAAGGCTAACGTGTTTGCAAATTATCTCGAAAAGATATTTGAACCTCTACCAAGACAGACGCATCTGGAAAACATCCAACTTCACGCTCCTCCAGTTAAAACCCAGATTAAGAAAATAAAGCTTAGTGAATTGAGAAATGAAATAAAAAATACCAAGAACAAAAAGGCACCTGGGTATGACCTGATCACAGCGGACATACTTAAGAAACTTCCACTGAAAGCTCTAAAGATGCTGCTTTATCTATACAATGCTTCCTTTCGTTTGAATTATGTACCTGGGCAATGGAAAGCAGCTGAGGTTCTGATGATTGTCAAACCTGGTAAACCAGCAAACGAAACTAAATCTTACAGACCGATCTCTCTCTTGCCTATTCTATCCAAAATTTTTGAGAGATTGCTGCTAAACAGAATGAAACCCGAAATAGAAGCAAGAAAACTCATTCCGGACCATCAATTTGGTTTCAGATGTAAACATTCTACCATTGATCAGGTACATAGAATAACCGATTTTATTGAAAATGCCCTGGAAAAGAAGCAGATAGGCGCAGGGGTCTTCCTGGATGTAGCAAAGGCCTTTGATAGAGTCTGGCACGAAGGTCTACTGTTTAAAATAAATCGAGATTTACCCGATCCATTTGGTCAAATAATAACTTCGTACCTTTCCGACAGATGTTTTAGAGTAAAGCAAGGCTCTGAATACTCGGAACTAAAGCCTATTAGGGCTATAATTTTTTTTATAGAAATTTTTGTACGTTTTTTTTTTTTTTTTTCACTTTTTATATTTTTACTATTTAAAAAATTCATTGTTGGTGCATATAATTTTTTTTTTAATCATTTTTGTGAAATTCGATTTGAAACTTCAATTCAACATTAAAATAAAAGAGCAAAAAAAAAATTTGTTTTTTTAATAAAAAGTTGCAGCAAATGGAAACAAATTGCAGTGTTACATTAAATTGTGTTAAATTGCACCAGAATTTTGCAATTGCAGGAAAATGAACAACACTGGCTTGGTGGCCTGACAGATGGCATTAACTACCTTAAAATTTGAGTTAGCTGACAGTAATATTTTTCTTTTGTCAAGAGTAGCAGCAAAAATTTGATATATTCATTCCAAATCAATTGTCAATTTTAAGAAATTTTAAGTTCATATAAAAATGACAGCTTTTCAACCCTGATGATAATTTGTTTAGATTTTTGCACGCAAAAGCGAAAATAAAAGGGAAAATTTTAATAACATTTCAAAACCTAATTTTTATGTGATTAATAGTTTGGTAGAAAATTGCTAGTTTTCTTAAACAGGAAAGGATTACATTAAAATTTATAAAAAAATATGAAATAAAATGGATAATATTAAAGTTAAATCAATCGATCAAAATTCGAATGACAAATTTTACACGGAAGAAAAATCTGATGATGAAAGTTCAGAACTCAATAGAATAGAAAAAATACCCAATGGAAACATTGAACATTTAAATACAACTCATTCCCTTGAACTATTAAATAACAACGAAACGCATGAAAGAAGGTCAGATGAACCTACTGAGCTCAGTTTTGAAAAATGTAAGTAGAATTTTACATTATCTTAAAAATTATTAAGAAATAAATTTTGGATATTACGTAGAATTTTTTTTATCAAATTTTTATACATATATAATACATATGTATATGCATATATTTAGTTTGAAATATTCATGAGACATACTTTTAAAATAACACATAATGTATAGTTACCTATGTATAGTATATAAGAACCACGAAGTGTTTAGGAAAAAAAATTTGAATGACATTGGATGGGTAGGTGCCTACAAAAAGTCGTATTAAAATTAACCAATCTTTGATAGGCTGATGCAATACTTTTACAAAAAGAATTTTTGATTGAACTATATTTTTCACTAACATATAATAAATGCTTATATATTAACATAGTTTATAATTGTCGATAAATGTCTACATTTTTTTATTAATTTTAGTTCCGGAAAATTGCGAAGAAAAAGAGAAACGTCAACAAATTGAAAATGCACTGTTAAACTCTAGAACACTAAATATTTATCAAGATTTTGCACGATCAGATTATGGTTTAGTAGGTGATGATTTACGACGCAAAGTGTGGCCAATATTAGCTGGGGTTGACCCAGACAATATCGAACCAGCACCAAAACTATCTGATTTGAAATCACATCCTGAGTATAATCAAGTTATATTAGATGTAAATAGATCAATCAAAAGATTTCCACCAGGCATTCCATATGAACAACGTAAATACAATAATTATTTCTTTTTTTTTTTATATATATGTACCTATAAGAAAAACGAATTTAATAAAACTGACGCACTATGAAATATTGCAGGTATTGCCTTACAAGATCAACTTACAGTATTAATATTACGTGTAATTACAAAATACCCACATTTGAAATATTATCAGGGTTATCACGATGTTGCTATTACTTTTTTGCTAGTCGTTGGAGAAGATGTTGCATTTCATGTTATGGAAATCTTATCAACAAATCATTTAGTTGAATGTATGCAAGAAACAATGGAACCAACACAAAAACGTTTAATGTTTTTGTATCCAATAATAGAACACGAAAATGAAGCATTGTGTAGATATTTACAAAAATCTTCAGTTGGAACATTATTTGCCTTGCCATGGTATTTAACTTGGTTTGGACATAGTTTAAATTCCTATAGATCAGGTGCAACAATTGGAACTAATTATTATCTTTAAACAAAACTATTTTTTTTTATAATTTTCTTTAAAGTTGTGCGATTGTATGATTTTTTCCTGGCTACTCCATTCCTTTTACCAATATATGTTACTGCGGCTATTGTGTTATATCGTGTTGATGACATTTTCAAAGAAGATTGTGATATGGCTAGCTTACACTGTTTTTTATCACAGGTAACTAAACTAAAATGACAAAAAAAATAAGTAATTTAACAAGTTTAAAATAAAAGCTTCCAGATGATTTACCATTTGAATATTTATTAAAAAATGCTGAGGAACTTTATAAAAAATATCCACCAAGTAAAATGGAAAAGGAAGTTGAAGAAATGATGATAAAAGAGTACATTTTTTTGGAATCATTTTTAATTCAGTAAAAAAAACATTTTTATTTTAGGAGAAAACAAAGAGCTTTTGAAGAGGAGCAGGCAACATTACGTCGTAAAGCTTTATTGGAAAGAAGAGCTATTAACTCAAAATCGAAATCGATTGTTAGTAGATATTTTTCACAACTACTGTTAACAAAACGAACAATATTTGTTACAACAGCATTTTCAATACTATTTGGTCTCTATGCTTATTATTATAAAACACAATTATTAAGTAGTGGATTTAGCTGAGTAAGTATTTACTTCCCACTAACAAAAAATATCGGTACGAATGTGCATAAAATACCTTCAACACAATGGGCTATTGGTTTTTCTATTCCATAAAGAGAATTGAAAATTTTTTGAAAAAAAAATATTTTGAAATTTGTAAATAAATAATATTTTTATAATTTGTTATTTAATTTGTTAAATGTTTGCAAATAGCAAAAATCTTTTCTTTTTTTAAAGTTTTGGAAAAAAAGAAATAAATACAAAAGTTAGAAAGGCAAGTGGGAAGTACATAAAAAAAAAACTTATTGAAAAAACTAAAATATTAAAAGAAAAAATATAATTTAAGAAAAGTTATTATATATAGTATTGTTTTGTAACTTTAATGATAATAATAAAAAGAAATTTTTAAATTTTTGGATATCGCGGAAATCAAAACGTTTTTAAAAAATATTTTTGGCATAATTAATTTATATTAGTTAAAATCAAGAATCACAAAAAAAGCAATTTTTATTTTATAATCAATAATAGTTTTAATCGAATTCTATCATTTTTACACAATTCATTAAATGTTAAGGGCTACACGTTGAATCTTTTTCATTTGTAAAATATGTGACCGATTAATTAAAAAAATATCTAATAAAATTAACATTTCAAGTTTAAAAAATGTAAAATTATGTGGGCAATTCCTGCATAATTTTAATATTACAAAATTGTTTTTTTATATTTGAATTATATACTTTCCTTCTTAATAATTGCAATATGTACTTATTTTTCTGATTTTTGAAAATTATATACGAATACATACTTTGAAATTTGAATCAGATCAGTTTAATTATAATGTTTTAATATTTGTGCCTTTGCGGGATAACTTGAAAATGAAGTTTTCCATATTGAGATTTACAATTCACAAGAAAACTTGATTGAATTGAATTTTGTTTTTGTTGGTACTTTAAGATCATGGTCGTTATGTTTCGCTTAAAACTTGAACTACAAAACACAAATATCAATTGTGTGGCATATACAATAGTTGCCAAAGAAATTGTAGTTTTAATTAATGGTTATACATACATAATTAAGTTTAACCTGCATCCATTTGAATAGCGTACATTTTAGGTACAATATGTTACCAAAGAAGAAATTTTATGTTTTTGCAATAAAATCTCTAAATTTTTCGCGTCGGTATTCATACTTTTTATGTAAAGTTTTTCTTCAATTTAATTTACAACTCACAAACCTATTTAAGTAAAGTGCAGTTGCTCTTTGAACAAGAAAAATTTAGAAACTCATTGAATTTTAAAAAAAAAAATGAAGTTAATTTGTTTAATTATTTAAAAATTGTTATTACTAAATTATTATTTCAATCGGAGACTCATTTTGTATTTAAATAACAACAAGAAAAAATTTAATTTCTGCTTATAATAATATAGTGCATGTAGTTAAAGAAATAATATGATTTGTAAATCTTTTTTAAATAAAAATTTAATCACAACAAAAACATAATAATGAATTCCAGCCGAGTAACAAGATTAAAGTGAAGCAACCAAACATAGAGTTATCTTTTTATTAGGTATGCAACTGTTCGTTGCTCTAACGTCGGGGTTGGAAAATTAAATTTTTAAACACAAAGTAATTTATGTACATAAAATAAATAAAATAACTAAAATTGAGATGTGTTGTATAAGATTATGTGAAAATTACGTATTAATAAATATTATATATGTAGATAACTTAAAAAACAAATAACGTATTTTTTTTTATTTCTTAACTTTTATGTTTTATACTTATTTTTTCTTACAATTTATTTTTCATTTTAAAGTTATACATACAATAATATCAACAATCGGATTATTGAAATGATTTATTTTTTTTTTAAAATTTGAATTCTTTGTATTTTTTGTTTGTTTTAGTTGTATCAGTTTGCTGTCGTTTCCTTTTTGATTTTTGGCGGGCAACATGCTCTGCCAACATATCTGATAAATCTTCTTTTTGTAAATGACTTTGTTGCTCTCGCATTTGCTGTTCATATCGTTGAGCCATAGCATCATTGTCTAAATCTAATTCAGATGGATCTAGAGCCAATTCGACCATGCCCTCTCCGCTACTAATTGGTGGAGGTGGAGGGGCTCTCATTTTATTAACACCCGAAATATCATAGATATGAGTTGAACCCATCATTGCAGCACCTACGCGATCACCATGCTTTTCAGGAAGCACTTGATACAAAACTGGTGTTTCGTTACTAAAAAAAATTAAGTAAATATTTTTGGATATTTTTTCCAAGATATTTCAAATTTCTCACTCTTCCATTTCTGCTTCGATTTTCTTCTTCCTTAATTCAATATTTTCGGGAGTCTCCATTCCCGCTGGAATACTGGTCAATCCGGATGGTGTGACTAAACCTTCAGCTGGTGTTACTAAGCCAGTTTCATCGGCTCCGTTAACTAAATCTTCACCTTCTTCTTCTTCCTCTTCTTCAGAAGATTCTTCTGATTCTGATTCAAGTTCACCCCATTGATTCCTTTCTATATCACCTTCGTCAATACCACTCTGATTGAAAATGGAAGTTGGGGAAAATAAAAATTAAAAAAAGATGTTAATAGTAAATTATTTATACTTACATCTAAGTCGACAATGTTCGTTCCAAATACATCCCCATATAATGGTTTACCATTTTCATCAACAGGAGGCTTACCCCAACCGCCTGCATGATAACCAAATGAGCAACCTTCTGGTATTGGTGCATTCAAACCAGGAATTTTCAAATTAGGATAACTTGGGGGTGGTCCGTAACGTTGTTGTGCAATCAACCATGGCGGAGGAATTTTATGGCAATTAGGACCTACTGGCATACCCAATGCAATTCTTAATTCCTCTGATAGATCTCCCGGTTTTTTCTCTTTTAAACGAGTTTCATATTCTTTTCCTTCATAGTACAAATCACCGTGAATGGACATTTTCGGTTTAGTCTGCCATTTGAAGAAAGCATCATGCAATTTTTGATAATCAATATCAATTTTACCCATTTTAGGACGTGCACGTTCTCGCATTTTTGCCTTCAAGGTTTTTGAATCATCCTTTTCTTGTAACGACTCACGCATTTCCATTATGCCAGTCTTTTTAATAAATGCTGGTAGATCAAAAGGAGGCTTTTCAATACCTCTCTTTCCTTGCAAGTATTTACGTTTGAAACACCAATGCCTTGGCACTTGGACTGTATTTCTGTGCGCTTTCAATTGTACCAACAATTTTGGATCTCGAGCTGTTACGTCGTGCATTTCTACAACGTCGGGCCTGGCAACAAGCTGTTTTAATTCAGCTACACTTAAACGGGTTAACTTTTTCAATTTTCGTTTTGACAACTTTTCTTTATCTTCCGTTTTCTCAATTTCCATGTCATCATCTTCTTCTTCTAAGAGCTTTTCAACGTTTTTCGCGGCAGCTTGACTTTGTTCTAATGCCGTACCAGTCTTTTCATTCTCTGGCAATTTTGGTTTGTTTTCCAATTTAAATATTTCGAAAATTCTGTAAAACTGACGATACATTGGTGCCAAATCAGCAACAGTTATCCTTTCTGGAACATATTCAATAGCTACATCATCATTTTTGCTTTCCTTATTATTTGAAACCTCATTTTCTTTATTTTTTTCTAAAGGTTCATCATCCTTTTCATCAAACTCTCTCTGAGCGTTTTGTCTAGCCTTTCTGTTCAACTTTTTTCGCTTTTTTTTACGTTTACTTTTATCTTTTTTATTTTGCGGCTTATTCGCTTCCTTGTTCGCTCCAGATTGGGCATCGTCCTCATCAGAATCTCCTTCGGCATCTGCATAATCTGTACTTATGACACCACTAGGTACGGATGGTTTGCTAGGCTCTTCTGATACAGTAAATATCTCGCTTCCATCTTGATAATCAGCTGCACGAATATCTTTTAAGGCTAAAGCATCTTCTAGAGCTTTTGGAAAAATTAATTCCTTGTCCTTTTGATCTTTTGTTTCATCTGTTTCCTCATCTTCGCTTTCCTTATTGGAGTCCTCTTTCTTCTCGCCATCTTTTACACTTTCTTCTAAATTTTCAGAATTTTTTTCAATGTTATCTGGTTTAGCTACTTTTACAGACATTAAGGGTATTGGTCCCCCCTTTGGTTGGTCTAAATTGGATTGTGGTGAATTTTGCCTAATTTGATTTTGTCCATTTGGATTTGGTTGGGGCCTTGATGATGGCCAATTCCCGGGAGGGGCTTTGTTTAATATGGGTGGGGGCATAACTGGTGGTGGAATGCCAGGTGGCGGAAGACCCGGTGGAGGAATTGGTGGAGGCGGAAGGGACATCCCTACAGGAGGAGCTACGGGAGCATTAGGCAATCTAATTGGTGGAGGAGGTGTGTTAAGTGATCCTTTTGGACGCGCCTTTAATTAAATTTTAATTAAATATTATTTACTTCTAAACAAAAAAATACTTACGTCATTATAATCAACTACTTTTCTTGGTTCAGCCATTTGCTGTACAACTTATAGTATTGTATAAATTGTAGAATATTTTACATCAATATAGCCTAAAAAGCTGCTGTTTTCTGTTCAATATTAATTATTATATTTATTACCGAATACCGAGTACTAGTGACTGCTTCTGTTGTCAAAATTAAGTTATAGAAATATAGAATGTATCGGCGTTATAAAAATTTTCAAACACACGGCAGCACTAAAGAAGTTTTCTATATTACTAGAAGGTGACACAGGTAAAAAATTCATACAACATGCCCCTGTACATGGTATTACATGGTCTTCTTACAGAGAGTTTATGCATAAGCTGAGTATCATACAAAAGAAATTGTAATCAAAAAACTCTCTTTGTGTAGGCGTATTTCAACAAAGTTGTAGTAATCATAAACTCACCCGAGAAGAATTTTATTTTTTGTGAATTTACTATTAAGTTTTTCAGAATATACGTTTTTCAATTTTTTTCTAAACTGTACACAACTCACGTAGATTTAAAGGCGTTTAAACTCAATGTCTGAACGTTCGGACAATACTATTAACCAATCAAAATGCTTCATTTTTTTACACATTATGCAAAACTGAAAAGGCTTGTCAGATATCAGTCACATGCATGTAGTTCGGTAATAAGAGGAAATCGAAAATATTTCTTGTATGTAGATGTAGAATGTACTGTAAAAATTACTTTATTGTAGTGTAATGTAAAAATTACGTTATATAATAGTGAGAGGAGACGCTGCCGTTAGTCTTAGAAATTTTATGTTTACCAAAAATTAAGGAAAAATGAAATGTGTACGTTTAAACAAATGAAATAAAAGCATAAATATAAAAAAAAAATCGTTTATTAAAAAGAATAATGGCTAGATAGTTCTAAAATAGTTCGCTTCATATGACAGAAGTTAAAATACAAAATCTTGAATACACAACTAAATTAACAAGTAAATGAGCTATTTTTTGACAACGTCAAAGTATTTGCTAAGTTAATATGACTTTTCAAAAATTAATTAATAATATTTCTAATGACAGAAAAAATGACGGATTTAAACTTTAATGTTGTCTCGTAAAAGATTCTAATAACTTATTAAAAAATAACTTTTTGGTATAGGTAGAATGGATAAAGTCTAGTTTCACATACAACCATAGTGATTAAAGTGACTTTTGTCAACTATTTTAACAATTGGCAAACATGATGCGAAACATCAAAAGATATATGTAATTTTTCATTACGTTTTCAAATCAATTGCCATTTTTTAGTGATATATTGAAAGTAATAGAAGGCAAAAAAATAAAAAAAAGGAAAGATTTAGTAAAAGGAAGTGTATTTTAAATATTTAACCAAAAAAATTTTATTCAAAAAATTTTATCTGAAATTATTTTACACTGAAGCTGAAATTTTTTAATTCATCGAAAATATACGTAAGTAAAAATTAATTTTTTTTTGTAAGACGCCATTTTGTTTTAAAATTTTAAAGATAAAAAAGTCGTGAATTTGTGTTTAAAAATCTTTGTAGAGTAAGAAAAAGTAGAATCAATTTAAAATATATGAAAAAATAGGTCCCATCTAAAAATTTTGTTTCTTCGAAAAAATGTATTGCAAATTTTATAATTAGATTATTCCATGTTTGGTGTGCGGATTGTACTATAATATGACGTAGGCTTTTGTAGGGTGTGCGATATATACATACAATTTTTTCACAAACTAAAATTTTGGTGGCTGCATTTCCAAAAATAATTTCTAATATTGATATTACGATATTAAATAGCAAAGGGGACAATAATAATGATTGTTTTTCGGCTAAATGATAGAAAATTGCAAGGATAAGCAAATGATGCCCCTATTATAACTGCACGTTACAAGATAAATTAAAATAAAAAGCAATGAGTGTGCATTAAACCATATACAGAATTTTTTTAGTTTTCTTAAAATATTTAAAAATCAATAAAAAGTGATTTCTTTAGATAGTATTTCTTAATGAAAAGATGAAAATCAACTACCTAATTAAAAAATTGGTTGGAGATGTGAATATGTTGTTACTAAACAATATCTAAATTAAAAAGAGAAGTTTAAAATGTAAACGTAGATAAATTGATTAACTATAATATGATTTAAAATATAAAGCAAAAAGCGAAACAAAAAGTTACATGCACACAATGTGCATAATATTTCCAAAATCTAAACATCTTAAAGTTGATTTTGATTTCTGCTTTTACATCAGGGCTATTAAATGGTTCGAGGTGGAAGAGGATACAATTTTGGTGGGCAGAGAGACCATATGGGAAATAGCCGTGGTTCCTATAGAGGTTCAAGTTCTAATTACTATAGTTCACGTACTGGCAGCAGTCGAAGTGGAAATTATGGTAGTAGTCACAGTCACGGAAATTACAGATCAAGTCAATATGACTACGATTCTCGAAGTTCTAGAGATAAACATTCTGATCGTGAACGTAAAAGACATCTTTCGTCTTCTAGAGAATGTTCTATTGACCGAAAAAGGTCCAGACATGAGAATTCAAAATTAGATTCAAGTTACTCATCATCATCGTCTTATCATCGACGACTTGATAATTCAAATCGACGTCAAACTCCACCGCCTCCAAGCTTGTCATCCAGTAAAGCTTCTTCGTCTTATCGTAATAGTAATACTCGGCGAGATGGTTCACAACGTAGAACGAATCTAAGTTCTCGCCGCTCAAGTTCTATGGGTCCTCCAAAAAATTTAGCGCCTCGAACACGAATACTATCCAGACCAAGGGGCACAATAAGTCGCCTTCGAGGTTCTACACGTAACACAATTCGTTTGTCGACTAATTCACGAATAGCTACTCGGGCTCGCCGCCCTGTTACTGATATGCGCATAATGCGTAAAAGATTGATTTTCACTAGCCAAAAAGACCGAGCTAGAAGAATTAAATTAGCAAGGTTAACAAGCTCTTTAAGAAAACGTCGAGAAGTTGATAAAAGCAGCCATGAAACTTCGAAATCTGCTAGTCGTCGTTCACGTACTGAGAAAAGCAACAAGACTGATGAAGAGGAAAAAAGTCGGTCGAAGTCTAAATCAGTTAGCAAGGATTCTAAAAAGAAATCGAAAATATCAAAACCAAAAGCGGATGATGACAGTAGTGAAGTTAATGACAAAACTTCCGATAAAGAAAATAAGAAGGAAGCAAATGACAAAAAAAGTGGAACCAATGACAACACTCAAGATGAAGATCAAAAAGAAGATGAAACAAATGAAAGAGATTCAGAAAAACGGGAAAAGAAAACAAAAGATATTGACGAAAATAAAAGCAGTGCAAAAAAATCCGATCGGCGCTCTAGAACTAGGTCTTTAAGCCCTAGAGGGAGGCGTTCTTACATCAAACTAACTTGCGTTCAATGTCACATGAAATGTTTGACCTTCCAAGACTATAACAATCATTTATACTTGCGAGTGCACAAAGTTGCGATGCAACGTTTAGCTTTACGACAAAAAGCTCAGCTTTCTGCAATGCGTCTTAAACAACGAAACGCTCAAAGAGAGCTTGAAGAATCTTCAAAAGAAGATTTGGCAAATTGTAAGCAGCAGTTTTGTATGTTGTGTCGTCTAAATTATTGCATACCAAAAGAAAAGCATCAATTATCTGAACACCACCGTAATATGAAGAAATTTTTAATGCCTTATTGCAACATTTGTCACTTTTCGTTTCAAAGTCCAATGATGTATGAAAATCATCGATGCTCTTTAGAACATATTAAACGTAAAGCTCGTACATCTAAAAAATCGCATAGTGAAAGTAGTGATGAAGAAAGGGAAGTTGATTTGGCCAATTTTACTACAGTTGATTCGGTTGGTGAAGTCGATTATCAAAATGACAACGAAGAAAACACTGAAAACAATGAAGATGATAAAGAGAAAGTTCTTGTTGGAACTGAATATGTTAAAAAAACTGAAGCATTTTATTGCGATTTATGTCGTATATATTTCCCAGCAAAAGACGATGAAGAAACTACTATTAAAAAACATTGTGCTATGCGAAGTCACTTGAAATCTTATTTGAGATATAAAGACGATCAATATCTGCAAGTTGAAGCTGAACGTGTGCAACGCAAAGAAAATAAAGAAAAAAAATCTGGTACTGATGAAAAAGCTCCAAGTGAAGAAAAGGAAAGCGAAGCCGGAGAAAATCAGCATGAAGTTGATGATGAAGATATTGTTGAAGATAAATTATGGCAAGATGTAGATAAAGATTTAGGGGACTTATTACGTGAAGTTGGCCCAAAAGAAGAAGAAGAAGATGAATCTGTCCTTAATTTAGATACAGAGAGATTTGACAAGTTTAAAAATAGTGACAAATCAGATAAATTAAATGGCAACGTGAAGGCTGAAGAGACCGAAGAAAATGAAACTAACGATCAACAACCAGAAGAAGATGATGAAGAAGTAACAGGCAAATCTAAAGAAAATGAAAATGATAGCGGCGAGACGAGTATAACAGAAACGAAATAAATCTCTACAAAATAATGAAGATTTGATTGAAATTTGATATATACAAATACTTTTAATAATGGAAAGTAATCAGGTTACAAAATAAAGACAAACATAAAATAAAAGGAAAATATTTTTATATTAATTTTACACATTCATTTTTGTATTATCGATAGCTATAAATAGAAATTTTTACTTTTTTTCCTTTTTTCTGATTTCTACTATTTCAGTTTTATTTAAAAATGTTCTTTATTTATTTTTTATTACTATTTTTATTTTAAAGCTAAAGTAAAATTTAAGGATAACTATCGATAATAATTTCTTAAATGCTTATTAATGTATAAGTTTCTCCTATTTTTCAGAATTCGAAGGTAAGTTCTATTAAAAATTAGAAAGTAAAGAGTAAAAAGAAGATATTCGTAAAACAATAACGTATATGAAAAATAAATTGCTTCTCTTGACTGAATAAAAATAAAAAATTGAACATAAAACAAAAAAGAAAGAGAAATATGAATGATCAAAACGGATCAGGAGGGGGAGGTGGTACTGCTATACAAGCTCCACCAGCACCTGCCTTGCCAAGTTTAATGGCTCAAGCAATTCCTCCACCTATTCCGTCGCCAGGCCAAAATAGTAATTCTGGGTATAGCAATATGTATAATAACTATCAACAAGAAATGTATAACTATCAGCAGCAACAATATGCCCAGCAATACGCATATTACATGCAATATGCTCAGATGCAACAGCAGCAACAACAAAATTCAAATAACTCACAGAATAAAGCCTCAAATGCTCCTCCCGGTTTTAGTAATGCTGTTATATGTAATGATGATGATTTTAAAAATGACACTCCTCTGAATAATTCCTCATTTAATATGAACACAAAAAATTCACAACAGAATAGGTCACCATTTTTTTCTCAGCAAAATAATAATAGTAACAATAACAGTAATGGTGGTAAAAATTCTTTTGGTGGTATTAGATTTAATTTAAATCAACAGAAGAGAGTAATAAGTGGACCCAATCCTTTGAGTTCACCTCTAAATCAAAGTAATCAGAATCAAAATAATAATAGTAATAGTAATAATAATAATAATGTAGGCGGTGGTGGTGGGGGTAAAAAAAAAAGGAAGCGCAATAAAAATAAGCAAAATCAACAACAACAACAACTACAACAACAACAGCAGCAGCAGCAACAACAATCACAGCAACAAAATTTACAATCCCAGCAAGCACAATCGCCACAAAGCCAGTCTATGAATGGAATGATGTTTAATACCCCACCTCCTCCGTTACTTCCAGATTTAACAAAACCTCCACCACCATTACCACCAACTCTTCATTCACCTGTATCTAATAGCATGTCAAATAGTAATAATATGTCATCTCCCATAGCCTCTCAAAATTCTCATTTTCAATCAAATCAGTCAGTTGAAAAACAATCGCAGACTGGTTTTAGGAAACCAAACCCCTTTGATAATCCAACAGATGCTTGGCCAGATAGCTTAAATAACTATGTTGCACGTTGCTATGCAAAATGTGAAACTGATTTAGATAAAGATCAAATAGATATTTGTTTAAAAGGTAAGATTACGCAAGCTGCAAACCGTAATGAATTATGGACACGAGATTGGGATAACGAACCTATCCCAAGTGTCCATAGTGAAAGAAACAGTATAAAAATACAAGCAATACCTGGTCAAGTTACACCGTATATGAAAACTGGCCAATTTAATCAAAGTCAAAGTAATAATTTGAATAATTCGAAAAGTAAAGGCATATCACGGAGTCTAACTGCACGTCTAGGTCAACGATCTTCATTTAATTCAACAGGTTCTTCAAAACGTTCAAGGAGTCGGTCAAGGTTAGTAATTAGAAAAATAAAGTAATAAATTTTATTGAATATTTTCTCAAATTTAGATCCCCGTCTAATCGCAAAAGGCGTTCACGTAGCTCATCTGATTCACCGCAAAGAAAAACTCGTCGTAGCTCTTCTTCATCAACATCATCATCGTCAAATCGCTCAAATGATTTTATACCACTAAATAGTATCTATGGTAATAAAAAGCAAAACAAAAATGGTAAAAAAATGAAATTAAAGAGCAAAAACAGCTCTATTCATAGTAGTAATATTAACAATAAAAAAGCTCCTTTCTACTCTTCATCAATTGGTGGAGCCGTTGATGATGATTCAGATCGTTTGCAACAACGTGCAGCTAGATTTGCTCAAAAGAAATCTGTTGCATCTGTTGCGAATTCCCTGAATAACTCATCATCAAACAATTCTTCATCTACAACATTATCTCTTACTACAAAAAAACGTAAATTAGGCCAGCAAACAAGAATATTTATTGACGATTCTGCTGTAGACACATCTTTAGATTTGAGCAATATTCATATAACAGGTTCATGTCGTAACTTAGAGAAATCATTTTTAAGATTAACAAAAGCTCCGGCGCCAGAAGAAGTACGTCCAGCTGAAGTTTTAGTTTTTTCTTTGCAAAATGTTAAAACCAAATGGGTGGAAAAACAAGATTATCATTACGCTTGCGATCAATTGAAATCAATTCGACAAGATTTAACCGTAACAATTCAAATAAAATTTAAAATTAATCTAGAAATTAAACTATTGTTTTTATATGCTTAAAGGTTCAAGGAATTCGTGATAAGTTCACAGTAGAAGTATATGAAACACATGCCCGTATTGCGATGGAAAAAGGCGATCATGAAGAATTCAATCAATGTCAAACACAACTTAAGATGCTATATTCAGAAGTTGGTGGTGATAATATATTGGAATTTACATCTTATAGAATTTTGTATTATATATTCACCAAAAATACTCTTGGTAAATAATTTTTACATCAAATATGACAAATTTCACTAAATTAAATGTATAATTTGGTTCTTTTTGCAAGATCTAACAACTGTGTTAAGATCATTAACAACAGAGCAAAGAGAGAAGGAAATTGTTGCATTTGCACTGAATTTAAGATCTGCGTGGTCATTGGGTAATTACTGCAGGTTTTTTCAATTATATAAAAATGCCCCATTAATGGCGGGTTATTTAATTGATTGGTTTGTTGAGAGAGAGAGGAAGCTCGCACTAAAAAATATTATTAAAGCGTACGTATACACATTATGATTTTGGAAACAATAAAATTTAAAACAAGCTTCAACCATAAAACTAAACAGGACTTTAAAAGTTCCTATTTTTTATATATATATAACATGTATAATATATATATATAATATATATGTATATATATACAATATATATATATATATATATATATATATATATATATATATATATATATATATATATATAGTATATATAATATATAATATATATGCAATATATATATATATATATATATATATATATATATATATATTAATATTATATATATATATATATATAAATATATATATATATATTAATATATATATATATATATATTTATATATATATATAATATATATATATATATATATATGTATATATATATATATAATATATGTATATATATATATAATATATATATATATATTATATAATATTATATTATATTTTTTTCGTTTTTAATTTCTTTTTAATTTCTGTTTTTAATATCAATTTTTTTTATTAATTTAGTTAAATTTTATTAATTTAATTTTTTTTACTTCCCACCGGTACTTTAAATTCATAAATTAAAATTTTTTTTTTAGCTTGTTCGTTTTAATAATGGCTTTCTAATTTATTAACTAATTGATTTATTTTGATCTAGTCATATTAATTATGGTATTTTTTAATTTTGAAACTATTAGTTTAATATGTAGGATTCGTGCTTTTTATTAGTGAAATTTGGATAAGAATTTGCACTTGTTGACCGAAACATTCTTATGTCATGACAATTCAGTCTTATTCAAATTTACTAAATAAACATTTTATAATATTTAATTACGAAAAAATTTAGACAACTAAATTCTTTTGTATATACCTAATTAAATGTAATTTTATATTAACAAAGTAGTTCAAAATTACTTTTCTTAGTCAAAAAAGCTTTTATATTTCATACATATTTATTTTCTTACTTTTATGTTTTTATTTCATTTTACTTGCAATTTATAAACAATTTTATATATATAATATGAAAAATTATGTATTGTATAATTTAGTTATCGTCCCAGTATTGGTGTCGACTTTATTACAAGGACTTTGGCATTCGATACAACAGAAAATTGTTCTAAATGGCTCTCAACTCTCTCATTATCTATGACCGGTCAAAATAATAGTCAAATCGATTGCAAAAATAGTATAAACGCGATCTAAAAATTTCAAAAATTAAAAAGAAAAAGTTATAAATCCCGTAATAAAAATAATAAAAGAGTTAATAATAATTCAAAAATGAAATGCAAAAATAATGAACATATATTAAAAGACAATTTACTAGATAATAAAAAATTATAATTAAAAAATGCACAAAAAGTGATATTTCATATTGAAATAATCAATTTTATACTCGTCATTTTGTTGTTATAGAAAATTTAAAATTATAAATTAAATATATCACATAATGTTTGTAAATCGAAAAATAGGTTTTAGGCATTTTGGACCACTATTTTATTTAAAAAATTAAGTGTTTTTAGTTTTTAATACTTTACTTTAAATTTTTTTATGTTTTATTTTATAATTTTTTAATTTAAAATAATGTTAAATTTAGAAAAAAAAAACTGTTGTTATCCAGTGTTTGTTGGATAGATTTTTTATGGACATTTTGCTCTTGATTTGTAGTAATAACAAAATTTTAATTTCTCACATAAATTGGGGGAATAATATAACACTCGTGCATTTCATGGAAAAGAAGTACATATTTTAAAATGTAAAATATTGAGGTTCAACTTTATAAGTAAAGGGATTTATTTTTTTATTTTGTCAAGCGAATAAATCAATTTTTGATTTGACACAGAGTTTAAATACTTACCGGGTATTGGAAGATATAATTGACTAAGGAGATGGAAGATGTTACAACAACAGTAAACGGAGATTATTTTGAGGACTAAAATTTGAATTGGATTGATGGCGAAATATTGAAAAGGCTAAAAGAAAATATAAACGAATTAAAGTGTTAAAAAAAATATTAAGGGTACATTTTACTCAAAAAGTTAAAGAAAAATTAACAACCAAAATGTTGCATTGCTCTTCTTTAGCATAAAATTAAAGATAACCATAGAAAAATCGTTTATAATGTGGAAACTGAAATGTTTACTTTCTTTTTTCAAAGAACTGGATGACAAAATTAATGAGTGTGAGAATTTCAAATTTTAAGCGGAAATGAAAAACAAAATTACGAAAGATAGCATATTAACTAACCTTTAAAAAATTAGTAGTTGATAAAGTAATTTAATACGGGATCTATTCATGTTCAAAATGAAATAGTAGAAGAAAAAATAAAAACTGGAATTAAAAAGAAGGTATGACATGATGATAGGAAAAAGCTGATTTGGTATGATTGATGAGCATATTTCGTTAGTCGAAGATTTTTCAAATAAAAACAGAGTTTACCTTAGAAGAGTTTTGCTTAAAAAGCATTGAATGATGCAATAAAATCAACAAAATCAGTGAATGCCCCTCTTAAATCAAAATGTTGCGGTTAACCATTTATTGATGTTTGGATGAAAAAAATTAAATTAATGAAAGATATAAAATATAACAATGAATTATCTTAAAATTGGAATAAAGAATGTGATCAAGAGAAAAATTTTTTAAGTTAACGCGAATATGAAATATGATTATCGAATTTCAGGTTGTTAATTTTTTTTTTAATTGGTATTAAAAATTTGAAAAATTAAGCAACTTCAGCAAAATTTCGTTTAATTCAATCTAACACTTGCGAAAGCTGAAAACATTCTTTGAGAATAGAACGCTGATACAGACATTTGGCATAAAATGACATGGCTTAATTTATAATTTTATTCTTCAAATTTTACGAATATTGTATAAAAATCATTACTGACTATTTTAATGGAAAAATATAATTATTTAGAAATTTCAAGAAATGGAAAAATTGAAAAATGAAAAAAAATAATTGGGTGAAAAGAAGGCAACATGGTTGAAATTTTCTCTTATTTCCTTTTGACTGTTATCTCAACGTTCTTAAAACTCATTGAAGCATTAACAATCAATTAAGATATATAATCACATTATACTACGTTGCAGAAGTCCGAAGCAAGAAAGCATTTACATTCTTCTATTGCTTTATTCAAAGATAAATTTTGAAGAAATGAGATTCTTCATAAATTGGACCCTATTTTTTAACAATTAACTACCCTAAAATATAAAAAGCTTATAATTAAATAATGAACTTTCATACTAAAAAAAATAAGTGAATTTTTGTTTTTATTTTTTTTTTTATTTAAATAAGTGTTATCGTGTTTTTTTTTCGAAAATAATGAGAGCCAGTAATTTAGGTTAAATTAACAAAAAAAAAATTAATTAAATGGAACATTTAATTTTAAAAATATAAGAAATAATTATTGAAATTAATATAAACAATTAAATTATATGCAAAAATTATTATAGATCTAGAAATTTGATGAAAGAACTTATATTATATAAATTTCAAGTGGTTTTTCCTGCTTTTTTTTTATACTTTATTAATAAATCTTGCAAAATCGATTACAAAAAAAATATATAAAGAAATTATATAATAATTAATTCGCGCGGGTGTAAGAATGTTAGATTTAAGTAGGAATTTACTAATTATAAAAAATTAGATGTTTTTAGGTATCCTTTTAATGGAATGTGTGTCCAGATGAGGAATGGAAAAACATCTTGGACATGTATATACCTATCGTGATACATAGAGGAGGAGAACTTTTAAAAAACAGGACATAAGGTGTGCAATGTACGAAATCCTCAGAACGTTTACTTATTACTTCCTTTGATCCTAAACCTCAGAATATACAAAAAATGAATCCCTTCAAATTTTTAGTTCCTTTCTAATTATTAATATTCCTGAAATATTATTTTAAGAAATCCTTTTTCGAAGTAAATTTCCTCCTTCAAAGGGATAAAAATCTTGCAAAAGCAAAAGTGGCTTATCAGAGTACTCATTTCATGGAATCAAACATTGGAAAATTTGTACGTGATTATTTATAATAACTTACATTGAACAAAAGAAAAAAAAACTTTAAAAAGATGTTATCAACAGATAATGGCATGTATGTAAAATATATTGTTAGTTAAAACATTTTAAAATCATATAAAAATTATGCAATGAAATTTATATATGAGAAGTAAAATAATAAGTATAATTCACTATAAAAAGAGAATATTTTGAATGGCAAATAAAATATTCCAAAAAGAAATATCAAAATTTTTTATTATTTATATATTATTTAATTAATTTTCTTAAAAGACTGTATTTGGCAATATATGTAGGTAGAAGGCGAAAATTATATTTGTCACCTGTGATCTTACTATGTAATTTGATTTTCGTGAAACGATTGGGTATTCAGAAAATGGTAAGGTAACACCAATCAGTTTGTTTCGTATTACCTTTCCGTTTCTTTAAAAAAACTACTTTGATGAGGCTCACTCAAAATTAATTAAATCTACTGCAGAATCAAATAATTCTAGTTTCTATATTGATGTATATGTGCATGTAATGGTTAACAGCAGTACTTTGATATTTTTGTAATGTCAATACATCAGGCCACCAAACTCAAAAATTAATTTAAAAATAAATTCCAAATTTATATCGAATTTAAATTGGGGGGTGTCGAAAATTGTTTAATATTTTCAAAAAGTTGGTTAGTAAATTCCATATAAAAATTGCAATTTTTAATGCAGCCAACCTTTCCTGGCTTCCAAATGGAAAGGGACAACCCGGAGATTTTTTTTTACTTCTTTATTAATCCGACCAAAGTATAGATTTTGACTAGGACATCTTTATCTCCATTAAAATAATATTGACTTAAAAACTGTTGATGAGCCAGTTCATTTGGCTTCGTCCTTTTTAAGCGGCGCACTTCGTTGCCAGTAGGTAAAAGCTTCTTCTCGTCCTCATTTTGGTGATTGGTTAATTGCTCTTTGTGTTTAGAGGCAAATCTTTTGATTTCATTCTCAACACTACTTATTTTGAGATCCCTGTATAGATCTTCGTTGCGAACATACCATGGTGCGTCAACAATCTGCCTAAGGATTTTGTTCTGGGATCTTTGTATGATTTCTACTTTGGTTTTTTTTTGCACAACCCCAGAGTTGGATGCCGTAAGTCCATATTGGTTTTAGCACTTATTTGTAAATTAGGATCTTGTTGTGGATAGACAGCTCGGAATTTCTGCATAACAACCAATTTAACCTTCTTGCTTTCATGTTCAATTGCTGCTTTTTCATTTTTGTATGCTTTTTCTATCTTAGTTTCGCGTCTAGGACCATACCCAGGTATTTTGCAATATTTGAATGTGGAATAGTTTTAGAGTCGATACTGATCGGAAGTGTTGCAATGTTTTTATTTGTAAAGTTTAAATTTTGTCTCGTTCAGTTTTATACGCCATTTCTTTGCCCAGCTTTGCTTTCTTTGTCATTCACTGCCGCTTGAACCTTTCCTGTTGATGCATGTACTTTATTAGCTACAGCTATCAGCGCGCTGTCATCCGCAATGTGGCTGCAGTGACTTGGTTCCCCAGAGGTAAATCACTTGTGTATAACGAGTATAGCAGAGAACCAAGGGCACTGCCCTGGGGCAGCCTGGCCTCTATGTCTTCCAAGTCTAAGTACTCTCCGCCATATCTTACACGGTATTTTCTGCTCGTCAAATATGATTTTAAGATTAGGTAATATAGGAGTGGGAGGTCGCGATGGATTTGAAATTTAAGACCTTCCAACCATACCTTATCGAAGATTTGCGACATATTTACAAAAGCACCAGTACAAACTTGCTTAGATTCGACAGCTAGTTCAAATTGATTGGTAACTCGGTGTACATGCTGAATAGTCATATGTCCTTTTCGGAAGGACATCGTAATTGATGTGATGGTATAAGATTTCGATGTTGAATGTTGTGAACTAATATTTTATGCAACAGTTTTTCAAAGACTTTCAGATTGGCAGCCGCGATATAGGTCTATATGAGGAGACCTCAATAGGTGATTTGCTTAGTTTTTATATAACGACGATTTCAGCGATTTTCCATATTTTGGGAACGTACACTAGTTGAAAGCAGGAATTTACGATATCTTTGAATCTTGATAAAACAATGTCAGGAAGATTTTTCAAGATTTCGCCATTGATAAGATCGAAACCCGAAGATTTTTTCGCTATTGAAGCTATTAATTACAAACTTGAGATCGGCTGATGTTGTTAATGGATGTTCCGAGTAATCACTCTTTTGAAAATAATTGGTATTTTCTTCATCGCTCATAGCGAAAGGTTTAAACACACTTTTAAGAGCAAAAATATCGGCCTTTTCCTTCTCAGTTTTTGCCCACTGACCGTCTGGTTTCTTAATTGGCGGATCTTGAATTACGACAATGACGATGAATTTTCGTTGTAGCCTTCCACAATGAATACTCTGTTTCTTTATTGTTGTCCAGTTCACGTAGATATTTACTGATAGACTGATTTTTAAATTCATCAAGTAGCTTTCTCTAATTTGTTAAGTTGATTTAATTTCGTTTTATCTCCTGGATAACTTGACACTTGCCACCTTTTCCTAGCTTTTCTTTTATCCTTAATTAATTGTAAAATTTCATTGACTTAGATGGAGGAGTGCTTCCGATCGCAACTTGCTGTATGAGCTGTGAGTTGCTCAATCTCTTTGTCCAGTTGTGTAGATGTGTGAATTTCGTGAACAGAAAACTATGTTAGTTTCTCCTCGAATGCTTCCCAGTTGGTTTTCTTATTTGTCAATCGGGGAATAGGTTCCTTTTCAATAAAGTTATCGCTTATGGTCAGCGCCACTGGCGTATGATCCGAATTCAGGTCAAAGAAAGATTTAATTTCCATGCAGTTACTATTAATTCCTTTAACGACAAAGAAATCTAGTAAGCCAGGCATTTTATTGAGATCGGAAGGCCAGTATGTAGGGGAGCTTGTTAATAAGAAATTACAGTGTTTTACAGCCCCAGAAAGTGTGTTTAGCATTGAAGTCGCTGTCTATTATGAAGTTGTTATCGAGATGACTAAATATGTCTGAAAACTGATTTTTATGGATGGAAAAACCAGGTCGAAAGTAGATTGCTGATATTTTTAGTCTGAATACAAACGGTGGTAATTTGGATACTGGATGTTTCAATCTTGTAATCTTCATAGGGTAGCAAAGTGTCTTTTACAAGTATAGCTATTCCTCCACGCGGAACATCATTAGGGAGTAATGTAAAAAAGAAGTTATAGTTACGAATATCAACATATGACTGACTGGTAAGCTGCGTCTCAGAAGTTAAGCATATATCAATATCGTAACAACTAAGAAATAATTCAAGTTCTTTTATACGTAAGAGACGAATCATTACTTGTACGGTTTGTGTTCATTTCTTAAGTTGAACTGTTTGGGTTTATTTGTTTCACTTAAAATTTTCTCGTAGAGCTTTTAATGTTCATCTTATGAAAGTGCATATAAATCCTGCTTGATATCAGATTTTGTCTGACGGCAAAATTATAGATATTAATCTATAATTTAATTAATTTAATATTAATCTATAAAAGTGTTCGTTTTCTCTCACAGGAAAATAATTTTTACATTTACAAATCAATATAAGATTATTTTTGATGTTTTCTTAAGGACCGAAGGACTGATATTTGAGATTTGACATTAAAATCAATTCGTAAGTAATTATAAGTGTGTGTTTTAACTTCACCCTTCAGTCGAAATTAATTTTTTTTTTTTATTCAAAAAAATCACATTTCTAAAAGCAAAATTTTTTTTATTTAGTTTTTCTTTTATACTTTAGGTTATTAGTATTTAGTGTTCTTACTTTTTAATATCGAATATTATGAATATCTGAAAATTACTTACATACTAATTCGTTATTTTATAAGAATTGTATAGAGGGCTATGATGTTGCACATCATTTTTATATGCGCAACATCATTAAATATCTCAATATCTTATGACCCTCGAAAATGAACACATTTTAAAAATTTATTTCTTATATTATCAGTTTTATTTGTCAATTTTCCGGAACAACAATAATAATAAATATATATATATTTTAAGGACTCTAAAACAGCATAATTTTTAACAAGTTTTAATTAATATGATGGTTATTACTCACTGAAGTATGATGGTATGAAGTGTGGTATGAGCTTCACATACTACTTCATTTTAAAACAAAATATTTTAGAACATAAATTATTCATGCTAAAAAGTTATTTTACTTACTGAATTCAACGAGACGTCTTCATATATTTCATTTCATCATTCTAAAAAAAGGTCATTTAAAATATTTGCTTGTATGCTACATTTTATCAAACACAAATTCATTTTGCTTAAAAAAATCCGGTCCTGGTAAAATTATGTTATCCGC